ATTTCACTAAGAAAGTGGTAGATCAATTGCCTTTTTAACGTTGGTTTTAATTAGTTCGGTTTGTATCGTTTGTTTGTTTTTCTATAATTATGTATTTAATTGTTTTAATAACACCGTGTTTATAAAAAAAATCCCAGCGTGCACTTGATTTCTAATTTTTTTTGCCGCATTTTTTCCTATGGCTGCCGACGCCCTTCCAGTCTATAGTCTACCCACTTTCTTCTCACTTTTTTTGCGTAGATTTTCTGAAACCACTATGATGCCAGCACAAGCAATAGCTCTCCGTTTCTTGGTTCGCATTTTAAACACTTAGTTTAACTAATCTGCCTCTGCCACGACCAGATTTTTAGTTCACTTGAAATACCACGCGTCAGATCAAGTCTGTCTGAAACGTAAGATTTCACTCCACTAACGGACGGATCTGATACCTCTAATCCCACTGGAAGAATCGGCACTCGTGCTTGGTATGTTAATTAGTGGACAGGAAAAGATATAATTCGTCGGATCTGGATCTGTCGAATCAAATATCGTACGTATCTGAACTGTACGGATAATCTGCCCGTGTATGGGGCGCTATTATGAGCTTTGTTTCTGTTAAATTTTCTTATTATTTGGTTGGTCCAACATAAAAATCAAAGTTGTAGCTGAATCCGGGCACTCTACTCAAAACAAAAATCTTATAGTCCCATTTATGAGGTTTTTGCGGATTGTACTGCTTTAGGCTAGACCACTTTGGTGGGAACTATTTGTTCATCAATGGCCATATGTTCTTCTTTCGGGACAAGTAAAAGCCGGTAATTTTGTCTAGAAAATGACGTATTTTGAACAGACGGTTATAACCAGGTGGCGCAATGTCACCTTGTTTTCCATATTCCCTTAAATGTGGTCATTTCTTCTTCGGAAATATCTGATGGTTTTTCAGGTTTTGTTTGCACACCAGATAAATTTGAACTTTCAGTAATATACGATGTAATATAATCAGTCATAAGAAACCTTGTTGTCAAAAGTCTCCAGATCTTTTATATAGTTTGGTAACGATTCACTCGTACCTTTGAACTTTCCAAAATCCTCTGAAACACGACGTTATTTATCATCCCACAACAATTTAGGTCGTTCGTTTTTGTTCCCTTTTGTTCCCTTTTCCTTTACTATTAGTTACTGGTGTAGACTCGAGTGTGCACATCTTTGCTAAAATGCTGAGAGAAATGTGGTTTTCGAATCTTCACTTTCATTTTCATCAATAAAAGTTTTATAATCTGACACAAAAACATCATCTCTATCGCTTTCAGACTCTTCACACAAAATATTAGATTTGTCTCGAGCCAATGGGCTTTTTTGAACACTTTCAAATCCGATATTATCCGATAAATCCGAAGATATTTTCTTCTAAAAAAAATCTACTAATCTCTGCCAAAACATCAATTGGGCTGATCAATGATTTGGTGGTAGGAAATGAATTTAAATTTTTTATTACTAAATACCGGCTATTCCAACTGTTTGCAAAATTTGAAGTTTAACGCTCTGCATAGTAGTAATCGATCAATAGGCTGGCCATGCTTCATTAGATCCTATTATTTTGATATCAAGAACCTGCCGTTTTTATTGGAGCACCCTTTATTTTCATTAAAAAAGTTACCACCCCACTAATAAAAATTATTTGGTTTTATTAGTAGGGAAATAATTTAATAATATTAATAGCGCTAATAATTAATTATCTCTTCTAGCAGTCTATAC